TTTGTTTCATTTTGAGCATAACTACCTTGGCCAAATAGTCATTTCACCTTGTGAGTGTGTGATCATTAATATCCTCTTTTGACCTTTTTTGTCGATGTCCATGTTGTTTTTGCTAAATGCTTGTCTATGAGTGTTTGATTCATCTTTTTGTATGGATATTAATTCTTTGTTTTCTTGAACCCTCAACTATGATTTATGGTTTGAATTTTCACCTTGCCTTAGAAAGTAGGGAGTATTCATATTATGATATGATTGAATTTAAGTTGGGGAGAGAAATATTTATGTGCTTGTGTGTATTACTATGAGGTTGAGAAAGAAAAAGAAAATAAAAAGTGAAAAATAAAGAAAAGAAAAAGAAATAAAAAAGAGAAAAGTTTTGAAAAACAAAAACAAAAAGAGTTGGAATAATATTGTGTTAATAAGTGATGTGTGTTGGTTTGAGAAATTTGGAATGAAGAAGAAGTTTGATTGAAATTATTTTGCCTGAGTCTTTGTGATTTGATCACTCCCTTAGGTTAATGTAAGCTTTTGTTTCAATTAGCTTTAGGACTTATCTCTTGTTTGTTAACCAAGCCACATTACAACCTTAAAAAGCCCTTGTGATTCTTTCCTTTGTATCTTCAATATGAGTTTTTGGATAAATGCATAATTTAGTATATTGTTTGCAAGATTATGGATCAGTGTTTTTTGTCCCTCACCTTTGTGTGTTCTTCATCTATTGAATAATTTTTACTAGGTGTGATTCATGATTGAGCTTGTTTTGTTTTATAATGTTTAGTATGAGTTTTGTACTTAGGATTCGTTTCGTTTACATGTTGTCGTTGTAGGATTTTGGTAAGTATTTACCTTGTGTGTGTGTTTTTGTTTGAATCATACATTTGTTTTCCGTTTTAAAAATTGTTGATTCATGACATTTTGGTTGATTACTTTTGGTTCTTTGAGTTGTTTGGCCTTGTTTGAGGACAAACAAGTTCAAATTGGGGAGAGTTTTATAAGAGAAAATTATAGTTATTTTTGTATATACTTTTTGTTACACTTATCGACTCTTTGTTGTTAACATCGGTTAAATAAACCCGGCTTTTGTGTAAATACGTTTAGTTTGTGTTTTTGTGTACATAGTGTACCGTTTGTTATTTTTCCATTCATTTTGTAGGTATTTGTTGCATTTTGGAGCATCGAGGAATAAGGTGTCGAAGACATGACTCCGGATACGCGTTTTCAGAATAAAAGACCAGTTTTGGTAAGTTCTGTCCAGGAGAGCCCGCTTAGCGCGCAGAAGGCCGCTATGCGTGGCTGCGCTCAATTCATTTTTTAGCGCGCTGCTTGCATTTTGACATTTTAGAAGAAACATTGTTTTGAAGCCCACTTAGCGCGGATAGAGCGCTTAGTGCGATTTAGGGCGGTTTGATGTGTAAAATAAAGAAGTTGCGCTTAACGCGCCAAGCCCGCTTAGCGCTGTTTGTTGAGATTTGTTTTGTAAAAACATATGTAGTTCATTTTTAGGTTATGGTTTTGGGAAATTTTTTTCTCCCAACTCCATCAACCTTTAATTTTGTTAGGATTAACTTAAATAACAACTATGAAGCTTTCATATGGATGATCCGAGGTGGATTGCTCTTTGATTCGCATTGAAAAATCGGTAGATTTGTAATTCATTTCTTTTTTTCTTTGTGTATTCTCTTTTGGTTGGGTTTGTACATGTATTTACTTTGATCTTATGTATATTTATCGCCCTTGGCGTTATATAAAACTTGTTTTACAAATCTTTGTCGATTATTATCCTTTATTTTTGCTCTGTGCTAGGGATTTGAGTTGTTATAGACATATACTTCTTGAATTCTTATCTTAGATGATTATCTAATAGTGTCTGAATTCTAGAGATAGATTTAGCGTTATTATTGACTTAGGGTGTCTTTGATTAATGCATCTGTGTTATTTGTGTTGCTCTGAGAGATTGTCGACGCAAGTGATCACGATTGACTTCTGTGTTGTTGAGGTGGTTGAGAGATTGCTATCGAAGTAATACAGTGGGTATTATGTTTGACACGAAATGACATTGATGAATATTATAGGTTTAGTATAACAGGTTGATAGTTTTAAGCCTGTGAGAAGTAGTATACATGCATGCTTGATAAGTTATTTCTTTTTCCTTTTTATACATTTATTTTCTGTTGATACTTTTCCTTTCAACCCATTTATCCCCAAACTCATTAACGAGAAATTTGTCGAACACAATTTCAATACACTAATCTCTGTGAACACGATACGATATAACCTATATCACTCGGTAAATTAATAACTTACTTTTTGCTTGCCGCTTTACCGCATCCAGCATCTCACTAAACAAAAGAACTTCCTAGAAGTGCTACTGCTAAATTTTAAGTGAGAAAGTTGAAAAATATTTTAGAGAGAGTGTGAGGTGTGAGATAGAATGCTCACGTTTTTGGATGTGAAAATGTGAAGAGAAGAACCTCTATTTTAGGCTAGAGGGTGGCATAAAAAAGGAAGATTTCTTGGGCTAAAATTAATGTGTCAATTGATTGGAACCTTTCTCCAATCTATTGAAAGGCCTCAAAATAATCATTTAAGATGTTTAAAAATGAAGAAAATGATATATAGTTGTTGTTCATTGAGACACTGTCCCAATCGGTTAGGTAATTTAAGTGTCAATCGACTAGACAATATAAATTTTGTCCAAAATCATTCAGACAATTCTTGATTCAGCTGGCACAACTTCAAAAAAAAAAGGAATAATTCTTTGAGAAGAATTGGATTTAAAACATGTTTTAATGTGTGTGTAATTTAGCCGTATAACTTTACGAAAAATTCCTTATGCTTTTACAACATAGTGGCCACTTAGATGCGATAGGGCGAGCTTTTACACTTCCTTTCTTTCACACATTGAAGCTTCAAGACTTATCAAGTAATCCAATCTTATAGACAATTTCTTGAATGCTTCTTAAAAATAGTGGGAGGTGTTATCATTTCAAATGGTGAAAATCATTCAAGAGTCAAGTAGGCATAGCGAGGACGAATGATCGAACTATTATATATCTAGTGTACATTTATCTCTTTTAATTTTCTATATATTATCATGTATGTTAGATATTGTTAATCCTTTGAATATTATCTAGGATTAGATCTTGATTGTATTATTGTATCATACAAGCGCGTGTATGAGATGCATCTAATTCATTGAATATTCTCCAATTCAATTAAGATTCCATTATCTCTAAGTTGTTGGATTTAAACTGCTTGTCAAAGCAACTTCATTTTCTTCAGTTCTTTATGATATTGATTGAATCATTCTTCTTATGAAAACAATAAAACATATAATTTTTTGAAGCCATTTGTTATATTTTTGCTTCTGTCTATCACAATTTGCTTCTGTGCTTTAAACTATGATTTCGTAGATGAAAATGTTTCTAAAATTGGTTTAAGGTGACAAGTCTATTCAGCACCTCCTTCTAGACCGTCTCATCCATATATTCTCTCCCAACAAGGATGGTAAAGGGTATCTTTATTGGTTATTCAGAAGATGTGAATGATTACAAGCAATGAAAGGTGGAATATGAAGGATTAAAATTTATCATAAACAGGTATGTTACTTTCAATGAACTCCTAATGGGCTGAAGAGTAAAGACTACAAAATGAAAAAAAACAAAAAAACTATGGTGGAGAAAAGTCGGTTTTTAGTTGGAGGTTGACTAAAAAGTTATGCAAATCCCTAATTAAGGTTCAAGCATTTACTAGATTTGATCAAGTTCGTTGAAGAATGATTCAATCTTTAGGGACAACGGGAAGGTGGTTAATGGGTAAATTGACATCACCATCGGTTTTAGAACCAAGGTGGGAAATTGTAGAGATTGGCTAAAAAATCTCAGAATTCCACTTGCGAGAATGATGTGTGTTTTGGAGAAACGCAACGTGTTCCTGTATTTTCACATAAATGTGGTGCATTATAGAGAAACACATCGTGTTTTTCCTAAAACCTTTAAAACCCTTTTCCATCTCTTTCTGGGTATGAATGGCATACGAATGTCATTGCAAAATTTTCTAGAAAGAAACTAAGAGAGGCAAAGAAAGAGATTCTTATGACTCATTGTTATAAGAATTGAAAGACCCTTGGGGTCATCTAAGATGATTGAGAAACTATTCTAAATATCTTGAGTTTGTGTGCTTCATATATTTAGAGTTTGAGAGATAGAGAAACACTTGAGATAGAAAATAAAAGATATTATTGGAAAGTTGAAATACTATTTACTTATAAATCTTTTGTAATCTCTTGTAACACTATTGAATTATAGTAATCTTAGAGTTGTTATTTCCTTATAAGTAAGTCAATTTTATCGAACTAGGTAACAAATCATGTGTGTACTCGTCACTTTATTTTATTTTTCTTGTTCGTGTGGATTTGTTTATAGTGTTTGATAGACTGATAAATTGATTAATTTCATTTGAGATAATTTTTCTTTTATTTTCGTTATTCTTTATCCTGTATCTCAAAAAATCTTAATGTGATCAAATTTATTATATTTCACAATATTGTGGTGCGTTTTCTAGTTGAATTTAAACTTTAAACATTTAATTAAATTATACCAGAAATTTATCATCTCATCCAAATTCAAATTCCTTTATATATTTTGAAAAGCCTTTGTAAGTAAAATTATTATTTTGTATATTTATTATAAATTAAAATCATAACAATTATTTATTATTTTAAATACTTAAACATGTGTTAAAAAAACATTTATGTGGAAAAAAAATATTTATTTGCTACACTAAAACTTTCATTAACAAAATAAGATAAGAGGACAAACCATAAACTGGTGATGACATAAAAACTAGAATTACTAATTAGTGTATTATTACATAATCAAAGCATGGCATAGGCCCATAGGCATAGAACATAATAACTAGATAAAGTTATAGTAATTAAGAGACATGTTATTCATGATTCACCATTCATCCTAATTAAACCTATAATATACAATGCAACATCAAACTATATTCTCTTTCATTTCCACCACTGAAATGTAATTCTGTTTATTGCCATCATCACCAATACCATTTTCTTGCTTCTCAGTTGAATTAGCTTCATCTTTGTTCTTAGCATTCTTGTATATGAGGTATAAGATCATTTGAGAGATTCCAAATAGAAATCCCAACACATTTGGCATCTGAAAATTTCAACAAAAAAAAAAGAAAGAAAAGAAAATTAATTAGTTTGCTTTCAAGCATATTAATTTATTAATAGGAATGAGTAAATTAAATATTTATATACTCACCATAATGTAGTTATCCTTGTCAAAGAGTCCATAGAAAAACCACATGGTGGCACATAGTGTGAGAAACAATGACAAGGAAAATGGCATGAACTCAACACTTCTTGTTTTAATCACCTTCCTCTGCATTTAATTAAATAATATCAATTAAAAAAATAAAAAATATTTTTTTATTTAAAATATTTAATTAAATATGCAAGTTTAAACTAAATATTTTTATTTGAGTTCCAAATCTTATAAGAAATTTGTAATTTGGTCCTTGAATTGAGGGACCTAAATATTAATTATTTAAATTTTAGAGATCTACTTAAATTATTTAAAAGTTTAAGGAGGAACATGTATTAAAAAAATCATCTTAAAAATATATTAAATATTTTTTAAAATTCATGGATTCAATTATAAATAAATAAAAAAAGTTCAGAAATATGATTTGTTGCATATCAAACTATATAAGAAGAATGGTAAAAAAGAGAAAGTAAGTAACCATTATGCTTAAAGGAGCAGCAAATACAGCAATGTTAAAAATGGCACAAATCAAACCAACAGCATGAACACGAAAGGATCTCTTCACTACAAAGAAAGTGATTATCATTGTCATGCCAAAGCCTCCAATGTCAGCCACAAGAATCATAACCAAAGTTGATATCTGCAATTAATCAAAACATTATACACAACATTGACACTTACATATTCGTACTAATAATAATCAAAATTTAATGACCATAATCACATGTTGGTGTCATGTCACTATCAAATTGATATGACATCAAACACGCTTTTAATCTAAAATTTCGATGCTATCAGTGTCGTTTTAAATTTTCAGAAATCAAATATAAATTAATTAGAATTTAACCGTTACAAATATTTATGAACTCATTTTTACAAATAACTTAAATATATAAAATTTAATACTAATATAATATCACGTCTTAGATACCCTCAAAAATAGCTCAAGGTGTAACATGTATCGGTTTGTTTAGAACAAAATCATAATTATTAATTAGAGTTTTACCTTGAGTTTCTTCGGAGCATATATAATGAAAATGATTAGGTAAACAAGTTCTATAACACATCCAATACAATTGATTGTGATAATCAAAAGAGCATTGGTTTTTAGAAAGCCATAGTATAGCAACAATAATGCACTAAGAAGTGCAACCACATATGGAATTGATTGAAACCCTTCAGATGATTTTTTCTTGTAAATTGAATAGAAGGTTGGCCTACAAGAAACAAAGTAACAAATATAAATTATTTCTATAGCATTCATAAAAACAACAATTATATATTTTAAAATTTGTTTGAGGTAGGACTTACAATGGAGCTAAGAACACCAAGAATGAGACAATGTTACCTAAGAGACCAAAGATCAAAACCATCTCATGATCAGAAAATGTAAACATTTTTGAGATATAGGTGTTTTTTTTCTTCTTTATGAGAAAATATAAGACAATGTGTGCTTCAACCAAGCATGATAGCTTCAATATATATAGTGGATAGACAACACTTCTAGGATAGTCCATTTGGACCACAAAATGTATTACCCTTTTTTTCTCTTATAGAACTCTATCTTTTTAGAGCACTAATATAAAGTATCATCCAAAAAGGTTGCCAAACTAAAAACAAAATATAGTAAGGTTGGTAACTTCTAACACTTCTTTATCTTCATTTTGTCTAGCTTTTTCTCTTGTCAAACTTGTAAAATTCCTACTAATTTCAAGAGCAATGATGGTATAACTCGGTTAGTTTCTCAATCCAATTAACTTTTTAAAATACGGGTTATTTTTTATATATAAATTAATTTCTTTAATCGAGAAGAATTATCATCTTACGTCCGATATTTTTGTTTAACTATCAAATAAACTGTCTGTCAATTGAACTGACTGACACTTTATTTTTTAGTTATATTTTATTTTAAAAAAACATAAGTCCCATATAAATTAGTTTAAATTTATAATTTTAAAAAAATTAAATATGTTTTTGGTCACTATAAATATCTGAAATTTCATTTTTAATTTTTATTAAAAATTAATAAATTTGAATCATAAAAAAAAGTTATTCATGCAACCTTAATCCTTACTATTTTCTAAAATTTTAAAAACAGTTTCATTATCCTTAAACTTTTTAATTTTTTAATATTTTTCATACGTATTTAGAATAATATCAAATATTTTCTTACCGTTTTTTTTTTTAAAATGAGAAGAATTAGATATGAATTTATTAAATTTCAAAAAATATTGATAAAAGTAATGAAAATCTCGACTTAGAAATTAAATTTTAAATTTCTTTTTTTCGATGACTTTTTATAATATTATAAACATGTCTGCAAAATAATCATTTAAAAATACACATTAATTTAACAACAGAGACTAAAACTACGTACATACTAATTTTGTAAGGATTAAAACATATCATATTTTTTTATTGAGATCAAAACCAAAATTTAATAATTTATAGAACTAAAAACACATTTAATCTATTTTAAAATATATCAAAATTTATTTGGTCATATGTTATTAATTTTTTTATTTATTTTAGATTTAGCCAACCTATTTCGATCCACATAATAAATCGATTAATTTGGTTTTATAACTCATACAGATGACTCACTGATCAAGTTTTATATCCACCAAAAAATATAGACACGTTAAAGAACATATAGACGTGAGAGACGTGAAAAGATGCGTTGAAAATTTGATCACATTAAATAAGATATAACTTAAATCCTTATTAGTTGAGTTAAACTTTCTCCTGATAAAACTGATTTATAAGATTGAGTTAAATACAATTTAATATTTCAAAATTATTATTGAGGTTAAATTTAAAAATAATATTATATTTAATGTCTTAAATGTTTAATTTATATAAAAAAAAAATGGTATTTCTAAAATGCTATTAAATCTAAAGAGGGACAAATGAACTACATTATATCTTATCATAAGCTAAAGGAAACAATATTGCTATCTTGACACCTATTTCTACACCGTATAATATTGTTTTTTCTAAATTAAATAATATATTTTATGAACAGTATAATGGATAATGTATAAACAGCATAATGAACAATATAATGAACAATTTATGTACGATAATTTTTATTAGTAAAATAAAATTAGTGAATAAAATATAAAAAAATTAGTTAATTGAGTGATAAATTGATTAATAAACATTCAGATTTTAAAAATAATTTAGTAGTAAAATATAGTTGATTAATGAAATATAAAAAATTAATTAATGAAGTGATGAAGTTAGTTAATAAATGTTCAGATATTAAAAATAATTTAGTTGTAAAACAAAATTGGTTAATAAAAAATAAAAAATTAGTTAATAAAATAATGAAGTTGATTAATTAACACTCAGATATTAAAAATAATTTTTAGTTTTAAACAAAGTCGGTTAATGAAAAATAAAATGTTAATTAATGATGTTATGAAGTTGGTTAATAAATACAAATAATAAAAATAGTTTTTAGTAATAATACAAAGTTGGTTAATGAAATGTAAAATGTTGGTTAATAAAGTTATTAATAAACACTCGGATGTTAAAATTAAATTTTTATAGTAAAATAAAGTTGATTAATGAAATGTAAAATGTTGATTAATAAAATTATGAAATTACGAAGTTATGATGTTATCTTTTACTACAATTTTAACATTTGAGTGTTTGTTAACCAACTTCATAACTTTATTAATCAAACATTTTATGTTTCATTAACCAATTTTATTTTACTACAAAAATTTGGAAGTGTTTATTAATCAATTTTATAATTTGGAAGTGTTTATTAATCAATTTTATAATTTTATTAACCAATATTTTACATTTCATTAACCAACTTTATAGTATTACTAAAAATTATTTTTAATATTTAAGTGTTAATTAATCAACTTCAATATTTTATTAACCAATTTTTTATTTTTATTAATCAATTTTATTTTACAACTAAATTATTTTTCATATCTAAATATTTATTAACTAATTTCATCATTTCATAAACTATTTTTTTATATTTCATTAACCAACTGTGTCTTACTATTAAATTTTATTTTTAAAATCTGCACATTTATCAACCAATTTATCATTTAATTAATTAAATTTTTATATTTCATTAATCAATTTTATTTTATTAATAAAAATTATCATACGTGAATTTTAATTGTATTACTCATCGTACTATTCATATACAATTCATTATTATTCATTATACTGTTCATAAATATATTATATAATTTTTAAAAAACATTGTTCATGGTATAGTATAGAAATAAGTGTCAAGATAGCAATGTTGTAGCATTTTTCTAAAGGAAACAATCATGTGCATCTACTTTGTACAGACCGGTTGATTGAGGGCAAGTGTTCATGCATGTCAGGAGATATAATGTGCTCCATATGCTTTTAAAATTGCACCAAACTTTTTGTTTTTGTTTAAAGTTTTATTTGATTATTTAGATAAAAATAAATTAAAAAAACTCAATTAATTTTTTTTTTGATTTGACATAAATTGAAAAATAAAAATATATAAGATAATTAGGGCATGTGTTGGTGTACAAAGGAGAGATGAAAGACAAAAGAAATATATTAAATGATGGCTACAAAATAAAGAGTAATGAATACATTGACCTATTTACTACTTGGCTATTTATACTAAATATTAAAGTATAATAAAATCCGAAAATACCCTCTAACAGACTTAGTCAATAAGACATTTCTAAAATATAAATTATTTCCAACACCATCTCTTAATTTATATTTACACAAAACTGACAACACCAATTTCATCCCTCAAACGAAGAAATTGATCAGTCTTGATAGTCTTTGTTAGAACGTTCACCAGCTGCTTCTGAGTGCTACAGTGCACAACTTCTAATATTCCACTCTGAACCTGATTTCTCAGAAAGTGATACTTGGTCTCAATATGCTTGCTTCTCTCATGCAGCACTGGATTCTTGGAAAGATTAATTGCAGACTTGTTATCAATCATCAACTTCAGAGGTTTGTTTACCTCGATCTTCAGATCCTGCAGCAAGTTCAGAATCCACACAGCTTAGCATGCAGTCAGAGCGCCTGCAATATATTCAGCTTCACAGGTTGACAACGCAACAACATGTTGCTTCTTGGAACACCAAGAAATAAGACCTCCCAGAAATTTGAATAAGTACCCAGAAGTACTTCTTCTATCAACTCTGTCTCCACACCAATCAGAGTCTGAATAACTCAGAAGTTCTAATTCGGTCTTTTTTCCAAAAGGAAATAGCATTCCATACTTCAGAGTTTCTTCAGTATCTTGCCGCTTGTCAAACTCTACAAATCTCCTTGGTATATTTCTGACTCTATGTGGCCTCTGAACTTGTTCAAAATCTCTTTCTGATTCTGAAACAATATCTCCTTTTGGACTTTCTTCAGAAGTTTGACTACCACCAGAAGCTCTACCTCTGTTAGCTTCTGGGCCTCGTTCAAAACCACTATCTCCAGAAATATCATCTTCAAAAGTTGGATCACCTTCAGAAGCTCTGCCTTCAGAAGTTCCACTTTCAGAATCATGATCACCGTCAAAGGCAAGATTACCTTTAGAACCTCTTCCTTCAGAAGGTCCACCTTTAGAGACATGATTTCCACCAGAAACATGATCATCTTCAGAAGCTTGTCCTCTAGAACCTACGTCTTTCGAGGTTTCCCTTCTAGAAGCATGATCACCATCAGATTCTAGATCATCATCAAAAGCTGGATCAAAATCAGATTCACCATCTGACTCATCTTCAGAGTCTCCAGAAGATTCTTCATCTTCTGATTCTAGCTCTTCTTCAGAACTTTCAAGTTCTGACTCATCTTCAGAAGCAAAATCTTCTTTAGATTCTGACTCATCTTCTGATTCTTCTTCAGACTCAGAATCACCTTCAGATTCTGACTTGTCTTCATCTTCAGAGTCATTTTCTAACTCTAACTCTTCTTCAGAAACCTCAAATTCTGACTCATCTTCAGAATCTTCAAAGTCATCTTCTGATTTTGACTCATATAAAATCACTCCTTTAAAATCAGAATATTGAGAGTCATCTTCTTCCTCTTCAGAATCAAAATATTACAATCTCACAGGTTCCTCATCAGATTCATAAGCCATTAATAGCACATGTTCATCATCTGAATTTTCTCTGACTATTTTTGCTTCTTCTTTGTTTGACCAACAATCTTTAGGAAAGTGGCCAAACTTATTACAACAATAACACTTAACCATTCTCTTGTCATACTTCTCCTTTTCCTTCTGATGTTTCTTTTCATCATAATAGAAGACTTATGACTTCTGGTAACTACCATGTTTTCCTGGCTTCTGATGCTTCTTGACAAAAGAAGCTTTCAGAGCCTACTCAACTTCTCTCTCAGAAGTTCTTTCAGTCACATGCAACTCTTGCGC